AAAAAAAAAAAATAGCTCAGTTGTAGTAGAGTTGGGTCCAGAATTCCAGCACTGCATAAGACACAGCAACCCGGGTCTCGCCCACAACCCAGCATCCTGGGGGTGGAAGCAGATAGCTCAGAAGTTAAGTCATCCCTAGCCAGTTAGAGACCAGCATGCGCTACTTAAGATCCTGAAGAAAGAAAGGGGATAGTGGTGAATACAAAGAAACTCCCTGTAGGTCCAACCTTGGTGACACGTGCCTTTAATGAACATGTCCAATCTATGATGGGCCCTTGGGAGGCAGAGACAGGCAGGTCTCTGTGGGTTCGAGCCCAGCCTAGTCTGCATAGCGAGTTCTACATCAGCCAGGCTTACCAAGTTACAGCCTGTCTCAAAAAAATAAACAAGCAAATATTAATTAATTAATTAATTAATTAATTAATTAATTAATTAAAATAGTCACTCACTTCTTGCCTTTCTCCCAGTAGGAGGTGGAGAGGAAGAACAATAGACATGATAAGCTATGGATGTTAATAACTGTCAACAGTGGTAATGGAGGCAGAAAGGAAATCAGGAGGCCTGGGGTATGGCTCAGTGGAAGGATAAGGGATGGGGATAGCCCACAAGGTGAGGGGTGGGTGATTCTTGGAGTTGAACCAAGTGAGAAGGACTAAGGCCTGGTGGGCACTCCATCACCAGGACCCAAGGGAGGCAGGCATGGGCGCAGACAGTCCCTAGGTGTGCCCTGGGGAGCTCTCAGGCGGTAGGCCAAAGTGGAAACCTTGCCGACTGGAGGAATCTGTTATGGAATAAGTGCAAGCCGAGCTGAGCTATGTTCTGCCCAAGCCAGCACGTGAAGTGGGATCAGACTGGGAGACCCCCAGTTCAGGTGCCAGCGCCCAGCGAAAGCATGCAAGAAAGTGGGGTCTGCGGGGTCACTTAACTGCCTGGTGTCACTAGGCGAGAAGCTGGGGCGACCACTTTAAACAGAATGTTATTGGGGCCTGGCAGTGGTGGCCCACGCTTTTAGTTCCAGTGCTTGGGAGACAGAGGCAGGAGGATCTCTATGAGTTCGAGGCCAGCCTGGTCTACAGAAGGAATTTCAAGACAGCCAGGGTTACACAGAGAAAACCTGTCTCGAAGAAAAAAATGTTATTGGGATACTTTAAAACTGCCTCTTAACATTAAAAAAAAAAAAAAGTGATAAAGGACTTTGTCACGCGGCTATCTGGCCTAGGAGAGATTCAGGGAAGAAGTAAAACCAGTGCAGAAGCCTGGGGTGGGCATGGGGTGGGCACAGGCATGTCACAGACCAGCGATGAAGGACGCAGGGTTTGAGAAGTGGAGAAGGGTGACAGGTAAATGACGTGGGGCCTTTGGCATTTAGTGACACGAGGTACTACGAAAAGACTGTGTTTGAAGGAGTCCTCTAGTTGCTGTGCTGAGCCTGGGACCGGAGGTCAGCGGGGACCAGCTAGGAAGGACAGAAGCAGTTAGGTCCGCTCCATCTTCCTCCTCCCTCTCTTCCGGCCCTCCGGTCGCTCCCATGTGTGCCCCCCCTCTAGAGACCGTGGCCTCTTTCTCTTGGTTGTTACTGCACACATGTACGAATGCCTCGGGATGTAAGTACAGCCAGCTCAGTGTGTTCTCGCGTTGTGTGTACGTTTACGGTGTCAGGGCTGACCGATCGGTATTGGATCACCAACTAGGGACTCGGCCTTGGGAAAGACGGTTTCTCCTGCCCTCGGCGCTCCTTGGCAGAAAAGGGAAAGGGGGGAAATCGTGTAAATTCTATTTTAATTAAGTGTAATTAATTAACAATTTCCTCCCCCAAAGAGGCAGCTACAAATACACACTCGGGATGAGAGAATAAGATCACCAATGGGGGG